ACCGACCACAAATATATATGTATATATATATTTATATATTAGTATACGATCTAGGGATCGACGGATTATCGGTCTGGCTGATATTATCAGACGATGTTCTGTATTTTCAGCAATATCGGTATCGGCCAATAAAGATACCAATATTGCCAATAATGCAGACCAGGGCCGCTATCAGGGTCCTGGGGGGCCCGCGGCGGTCCTGGGGGGCCCAGCACACTCTTACTTACCTTCCCAGCAGCTCATTCGGCTCCCCTATCTAACTTTCGTGAGTCCCACGGCCGTTAGAGCGTTGCCACGAGCTACCATGGCAACGCTCCGCGTGGCGCACAGGCCGCAAGAGTTAGACGGGAGATGAAGGGAGCTGCTGCAAAGGTAAGTAAGAGTGTGCTGGGCCCCCTATGCACAGTCCATGCCATTGGACCACCAGGGAATGCCATATCCCCCCTCCCTGGCCAGGTAAGAAGCAGGGAGGGGGGCCAAAATATATATTTTTTAAAATGTAAATTTTTTTTTTTTAAATTTAAAAAATAAAAATGCCCCCCTATTTTACACACGTAACATACCTACACAAACACTCACTGCACAAACACACACTACACAAACACACACACTCTGCATTCACTATACACACACTACACAAACACACTGCATTCACTATAAACACCCTACACACTGAATTTACTATACACACACTACACAAACACATACACTCTGCATTCATTATATACACACTACACAAACACTACATGCACTATACACACACTACACAAACATACACTGCATCCACTACACAAACACACACACACTGCATTCACTAATCAAATACGCTCACTGCATCCACTAAACACGCATATATTCTTGAAAACATAAAACATTTTGACTGGCATGTATATTCTGTGCATTTACCTTAATAAAAAAAGATTTGCAGAAAAATAAATAAATAATAAACATGTTCATTTAACAGTAGATTTGTGTAGAAATAGTTTTTTGTTTTTTTTAATGGTAAATGTACAGAATATTGGTATCGGTAAGTTATCGGCTATTGGCCTGAAGGTTCACAGATTATCGGTATCGGCTCTAAAAAATCAGTATCAGTTGATTCCTAATACGATCACCTCCCTATTTGTAAGTAGGCCTCTATGCCAATGATTGATTTGTATATAATCTCTTCATTCCTCATTGCTCCTTTTTCAACACAGCTATGCTCCTATTGGGGACACTAGAGACAAGTCACTAGTAAATGCAGTGCATGCATGTCCTTAAATTCACTTGTGAAGAAACAAAAACCGGACAGTTTCCTATCATAGAGCACTTTAGGAGGGTTTAGGAGCAGCATCGCACTGACATACTACTTTGAGGGGGTGGCATGCTTGTCATTGATGATGGCAAACACATAACATGCCCCCTCTCTGGCCTCTCACCTCTTGGACTTCTTTGCCTTTAGCTGCCCAGGGTGAATATTTGTCCCAGTCCGGCCCAGCTTGGAAGGTATGCAATTGACACCATTTCTCCAACCTCTGGCAAGTATGGCAATATGCCATTTGGCATCTGGCACAATGCTATGTAAATCGGATGCCTGTGCACCTGTGACCTGCATTTCAGATTGGGATCAGGTAAGTACATTCATATCTATATCCATTTACATTACCCCACATACCTGATGTATATTGCCACCTAAGTTGGCATATGTCCCTATATTTTACCCCATATGGCTTTATATTGCCCCTACTTTATCATATTTCTGTCTTTCTCTCCCTTTCTCTTTCTATCTATATGTCTCTGTAGTGACAGAGAAACAAACACAGTAGTAGAAAAATGAAGAGCTAGAAACACAAACAGATACCTCCTAAAGTCCCAAGTGTCCCTGTTTGGATCCCTCTTTTGTAACTTAATGTCCCTCTTTTTTTAAGAGCTCCATATTGCTAGTGTATCTGAGTGTGTAATAGAGCTCCACAGCAACAATACTCCCAGTAATGTATCTTTAAACTACAAGAAAAATGTGTTTAGAAATCAGTCTGTGTAAATAAGATACATAGTTCTTGTTTCAAATGACATTTTAGTTGCATAAAATGTTATGGATAAGTCACCTAAAGTTTCTCAGATCAACCCCACCTCACCCCACATCCTAAAGTTAAAGTGTCCGTCTTTGTATGTTTCAAGTGTTGGAAGCCAGGTATGCAAACTGGTTGTTACACGATCAGGCATATACACATACACACACAGAGAGAGGGAGCTGCAACGCTGCGATTAGATTCTCCAGCCCTGCTTCAGTGCTACAGACACATAGAAACACATTTACATGCATGACTCTTCTGTCTATCAGCCATAATCAAGCAGTTGCTGAGGATTCTGTGGGCAGCTCTCTGATTGAACTACTGATGCACATTTGTAGTGTAGGCATAATTTGCTAATTACATTTACTTGCAATAAACTCATTTTGTTTGCAAGTGTACCAGTCAATTTTATATTACAATATGTTTAATCCATGTCCCTAACTTTTGTATATACATTTATTGGCTGTGCAGGAATTAATAGCTCAAAAATCACAATTGGAAAGCCGTGGATCCCTCTTTTTAGGTGTGACTCCAACACTCTACTGTACATGGAGTATGACTATCGAAAGTTGCTCCATTAGATTGGTTGTCATGGAAACCACCTGCATTCACGTAGTTAGTGACCATAATATAGTATAGGAGATAAAATGTAGGGGAATAAGGTTTACATTTTGTCTGTTCTCTTTGGATCCTTATCTTCAGCACAATCTGATGAGTTGGTTTCTTAAATATTTTATATGTTTATGTATTTATGGTTTTCCTCTGATTATACTTATGTAGCTAGCTGGCTAATTTTTTTATTTTATTGATTTATTTTTATGGATTTTCAAATAAAACTGCAATGATGAACAATTCCTGAATTGGGCATAGAAATGAAACCGCAACAAATGGTAAAATTACAAAGTTTGTAGAGTATAGATAACAAGAAATAAATTCATAGGTTATTTTAAGAACAAGAACAAAATAAATTCCGACTTCAATTAATAAAAGGAAGGGCTATTAATTAAAGTCTGAATGTAACCTAGCCTGAATTAAGAATAATCCAAAGGCTTGCAAAATGTCTTTGATTTCAGCAAGACAGATTCTGTGTGGAAATAAATCAACCTCATTTGTTAGCTCCTCGTGAAGGTTAAAAATGCTGGAATTCAAAACCAAATGCTAAAATTTCCCACTTTGCAGGGGGTCCATTCCAAATGTAATCAAATATAAGCTATGATAAACCAAACATGATTGACACAAACAAGGCCAGTGCAAGAATTTTTATCTTCATAGGCATTGTGCATCTTCACCTGTGTGTTTCTTATCCCCTATTTGAATTTTCTTACCGCTTTTAGCCTCTTTTTTGTTTCTTATCCCTTCTTTAGACTATCTTACCATTTTTAGTGTATCTTATCCCATTTTTATGTCTTACACTCCTGTTTAGTGTATCATTTCCTCCCCTTTGCCCCTTTGTGTGTCTTACATCCCCTTTAGTGTAGCTTATCACCCATTTGGCGTGTCTTACACCCTCTTTGTGTTTCTCTTAAAAATTCCTTTTGTGTATATCTTACTGCCCCCCTTTGAGTATTTCTTATTTCCCTCAACTTGTCTGTGTGCCCCTTTTTCCAACCCTGCCCCTTTGTGTGCTTCTTCCCATTTCCGCTGGGCATGCCTGCTTACCTCTTGTTGTAGTGTGGCCTCGCAGACCTCTACCTCTACCTGGTCTGACATTAGGCTGCTTGTGGTTCAGTGAGAAGCTGCCTGTCAGACTGAGTAGAGTCTGGGCTCCTCTAGCATGGTCTGCAAGGCCATGCTACATGGAGTGACTGGTAGTAGGGGAACACTCTGTGCCCATTTCTGCTGGTCACTTGGACATTGTGCCTCCCTAATCCAGCTTTCTGTAACTATACTGGTATATGAATATTTCAGCCAAGCAGGGTTGAAGCACAGAAAGCAAATAGTTACACAATAAATTGAAAGAAATGGCAGTGTGAGAGTTCATAATAGAACTCTGTCCATCTTTTCTAATACACTCACATTGTATTTTTATAGGTTAAAAAGGTTATTTAATGTTACTCCTGCAAAGTCAACCGGCTCTAGAGCTTCTCATACAGAAACATTGGAAACTGATGTGCAAGAGCGTTGAGTGACACGCGAGCATCCAAATACTTTTCACAGGAAAGCGTTGAATTCAGTGCCTTTAGATGAGCTGCAGCCTCACATGACAGTTGAAGAGGAAGTGTCTCTAGTGGCTGTCTGGAAGATAACCACTGGATGTGTGCGAACACTGCAATGTAACCCCACAATGTAAACACTGCAATTCTTCAAATCTTAAAAAGACAGGACTATTGCACCCAGATCAATTTTTTGAGATGGATTGATCTTGTTAACTTTAGTGGTCCTTTAAAGGAATATAAGAGGGAAAAAAATGTAAAACCATTTAAAAAGGAGGTATGCGTAGTGCCATATGATGAAGGGTAAAAACTAAAACAAACAAATTAATGGGTTGAGTAAGAGCAATCAGTTAGGTAGCTCAGTTGGTAAATTCCCTGCCTACAAAGTCTGTTCAAAAAATGCAAGGTCACAGGTTCTGGCAACTCAGCCCTTCATCTTTCCGAGGTCAATGAAAAGACCTTGAAATTGATCTTCAATTGGGTAATAATAACATCCATTACTATTCAGCTGCCGATCTGGTTAATTCTGAGAGCATGTGCTGAAAAGTGCTATGAGTACCACTGGGAGAACGGTGCTATATAAATACTAGTTACTATTATTGAAACAGTGGTGTTTCTCACATATTTAAAAGAACCACCACATTCCTTTGAAATACTGGAGGATCCTTGTGCCCCCTTTATTTCAATGTACTTCTTTAATTTGCTGTCTCAAAAAACAGATGAAGGCATTTTGCGTGTGTCAAACCTATTAGAACTTACTACTACACAACTATGATATTGGTGCAACAGAAGTCACAAAGTGAAGTTCTCAGCTGCAGCATCAAAAGGAAATACATATATTATACATAAAACAGTGCTGCCGAATTTGTTGGTGCTTTATAAATGATAATAATAAAAGCATGGAAAAACAAAATAAAACACATTAAACTAACAGATTCCTTTTATTGCAGGGAAGTCTTGATGACTAGTCCCCTCTTCCTCCATCCCCTGTGCAGTTAGTTAGGTGTTAATATTAATAAACTGAAAAGGACCCTTGCCCTTCCGCCAGGCCTATAGGATGGAGGATAATAAGTAATTGCTTAGCTTGGGGTCCCCATGCCTCTTTAGAAAATAGAGATTAAGGTTATACCCAGTATTCAGGCCCAAACCGGTACAGGGCTAGATGGTCTCCAAGTCATCTGCTTGTACATAGAATACTTGTATACAAAAACAAACTCCATCCTAGTAAGGCATAAAGGAATAATTAATCCCTTGGTCTCAAGATGTACATATCCCCTCTCCACACACACATACCCTGCGCAATCCCCAAGTCTCCATAAACCCCAATATCCATGAGCCCCAATAACAAACTACATTTTATATTCCTATTCGCCTGGTGCCTTATGTAAAAATTATGTCAACCCTATCTACATCCTGTCCTCCTAATAAGTCAGTGGATATGCCAGTATAACTTGAATGGGCACTGTAGCCATCTCATTGAAGTGGTCTGGGTGCCGTACCCCTGTCCCCTTTACTGTACAATGTAAAGTATTGCATTTTTTTAAGAACCTGCAATATTTACCGTATAAGCCGAGTTTTTCGGCACATTTTTTGTGCTGAAAAAGCTCCACTCGGCTTATACTCGAGTCAATGTCTGTATTATGGCAACTTACATTGCCATAATACAGACCAGGACCGCCGGGCTTGTAATGAGGGTCTGGCAGAGAGCTGTTACTTACCTTCCTACAGCTCCTGTCAGCTCCCTTCTCCTCGGTGCAGCTCCCCTGTCAGCTCCGTTCTACTTACAGTGTAAGTCTCACGACACCCGCGGCCGTCAGAGAGTTGTCCCTAAAGGAGTTTTACTTCTGCATAAGGACATCTAATATCTTCAAATTCCCCACAGAAAAGCATTGAAAAAGCATTTCAAAAGCACTCGTCTTGCATGGGCATTATGTCTCCCCTCTCCCATCGCCATGATGTCTCGGGAGGAGGAAAGAAAGAAAAGTTTTTAACTCTTCCAAGATCGGAGGTGGGGATTCTCTAGTGCCATGAAAACAAACCTGGTAAAACTCCTTCAGCCACTTACCTGAATCCAGCGCCGATGTCCCTCGGTGCTGGGTCAGGCTCCACCCACGCTCCTTGGGGAGACCTAATGCGCATGCATTACACTGGAATTCCTCATGCATAGCATGAGGAGGTCCAGCGTCATTTAGACAACCAAAAGTCGTCTAAGCACCCTGAGGTCTCTCTAGTGGCTGTCTTGTAGACAGCCACTAGAAGAGGACCTTACCCTGAAAACATACAAAGAAATTGGATCTTTGTGAAAATGGGTGTAAAATGGAATAAACACCACCTCCACACTGATCCCATGCACCTGGAGGACACTCCAGCAATGCCCAAGGGCTTAACCCTAGATACTAGCAACAGAAACCAAGAAGCAAAAATTCACAAACTGAATATATTGCTGACTGGAGATAAAGACATACGCACCAAAGCATCCAGTGCTATGGAACAATGTAACCAGAGGGAGACCACTAAATATCTGAAGTAACAGAAAGTGTCAACACAAAAATAAACTGACTCAAAATAATAATAAATACCGAACTAGCCTTATAAGGCTACTCCCATGTGAGGAGATAAAGTTACTAAACACCTAAGTCTGCAATATTCATATAGTCTTAGTGTGTTAGTAAATCTCCACTTAGTACCTAAGAACCAGAAAAAGTGCTCAGAAACTGCAATAATTAGCTGCTCAGCATTAAGTGACATGGGACATTGCACCTAGACCATTTCAATGAGCTGAAGTGGTCTCGGTGCCTACAGTGTACCTTTAAGTTAGGGACAGGGACACTATGGCATTAAGAATATAGTGTTCCTTTAAATGTGTAATAAAAAAGCCTTAAAAAAACAAAATATGTATCTTCTGATTTTTCAGTTAGCTTGATAAACAAAATATTGAAAAGGCAATTGTAATTGTTTCCTGCCTTTCTTAACTCTGTCTTCCTCTGCTTGCTGTTCAGTAGCACTGTACGAAATGAACCATGCAAGTTCCTGTATTGTGCAAGATAGGAAACATGACTCAGCTCATTCTAAATATATATATTTTTTATGTTGACATTTATTATTGTTTGAAGGTATTAACTATAAGAAATTATCCCTTCATTCTTTTGCTACTGATAAACTACATATCCTACCTATCCAAGGGTGTAGGAATAATAGGTTAGCTGTGATACATCCAAATCAGCCTGGAATGGGTAGAAACAATTCTTCATTCATTTTTAACATTTGATCTTGGAATGTACCTGCCTTTATAAATGTTTAAACAAAATGTCTGCTATATCGTATAAATATTTGGATTACGTGATAAATACTGCTGTCAATGTAATAGATTTTAGTTTGCTCCGTTTCCTTAGAAACCAGATCCACAGGAAAAGAAACCTCTTATTTTTAAATTGCAGTTCTGTGTTTTGTAATGAAAAAAATAAAACGATAAATTAAAGCTAGAAGACTTCTAGAAATCCTCACATACATATCAAATGCCACAAAACACTAGATTTCAGGAGGATATATGCCTGTAAAGGAACACTATAGTGTCAGGAATACAAACGTATCCTATGGGAAACGTTCAGCGCCTCCATGCAGAAGGTGGAGACGCTGAACGTAGATGCTGGAAACTGTTCAGCACTGAAGCAGCACTGAAATTAGAAGCACCTCTAATAGCCGTCTGAGTGACTGCTATTAGAGATGTTACTAGCCAGCAATGTAAACACTGCCTTTTCTCTGAAAAGCCAGCATATACATTGAAAAGCCTTTAGGGACAGGCTACAGACATCAGAATCACTACATTAAGCTGTAGTGGTTCTGGTGACTACAGTGTCCCTTTAAACTTAAAATGTTTGTTAGTTTGGGTATGCATCATTATGAACTTTGTGTATTCTCTAAATTCATCCTCACATGACATACAAGTACTCTAGTCTAAAGGAAAGTGGAAGATGTGCCCCAAGTATAATTGTGTGCTACCTCTTTCCAACTCCCCCACACTCGTAATGATAAACTCTATGACATTATTTTGTTAACCTCCTACTCTCAGTCTAAAATATATTAGTCACGCACCATTTAATTGTTGCAAATAGCTGCACGTAATATGTATCATTTACTATTGAGTATGATATTCATACCTTTTAAAGGCATAACAAAACAATGTTAGCTACATCACGCACTTTTGGTGTTTAGATCATGTCCCTCAAGTCTCACTGCTCATGTCCCCACCATGTAGGAGGTAAATGACTATGCTGACCCAGTCAGGCCTCCAGTAGCAGTGACCAAAACCTTTCATGAAAAGAGAAAAAAAGATTTTTTTACAGAACAGTGTGCTTACTTTAGAATTTCTTATTTCCTGCTATTTTATTCCCTTAACACAGTTACAGAGTTCTATGCCGTCCGCGATGTAATGAGCTTTTTAAGCCATTGCGGCGGTATAGAATGTCGTAACCGTTTAGAGCCCCAAGAGCCAGGCGGTACTTACATCTGCCGCGATTCACTCCGGGAGGACTTCCTGAAAGCCTAGACAGTCCTCCTCTGCTGAATCAGGCCCCCACAGGCCATGTGATTGCTCTCACAGGCAGGTACTGCATCTTGAGTTCAATGTAAATAAGCTAACTAAATCAGGAAGTAACAGGATCTGATGTGTGCTTGAAAAGTCAGGTGGATGTATGAAAAAAGAGGAAACATTTTTCACAAAGTTTTTCAGCAAGCTAGGGGTTCTTTATGGCCCTGGAGTGTCCCTTTAAAAATATGTTTTATTTTCTGAATGTATTCCATGGTAAGATCATCAAGGGGAAAAAGGAGCAAATCATCCAAAAGAGGAAAAAAAAGTGGTGAAAATAAAATGTTGGTTCACTACAAAAATAAGGCAGAAAAAGTCACCACTGTGTAAATGATGGCATAACAGCTTTAAACTTAAAGGGACACTATAGTCATCTGAACAACTTTAGCCTAATGAGGTTGTTCAGGTAAGAACTATAGCTCCCTGCAGCCTTTCTCATGTAAACACTGTATTTTCTTAGAAAAAGCAGTGTTTACATTGAAAGCTAGGAACACCTCCAGTTGCAGTCACTCAGAGTGAACCAGAGGGACTTCTGAGTTGATGGAGGCATAATATGTCTCCCACTCAGATCTGCTGTGCACAAGCATCCTGTGATTCAGTGTCTCCTCCCACTGCATGCAGACACTGAACTTTCCTCATAGAGATTCATTGATTCAATTCATCTCTATTAGGAGATGCTGATTGGCCAGGGCTGTGTTTGAATCATGCTGGCTCTGCCCCTGATCTGCCTATTTGTTAGTCTCAGCCAATCCTATGGGGAAGCACTGTGTTTGGATCAGGCTCCCACATGTCAGCAGACTGCTTGTTTTTCCTGAGTCTAACAGCATGCAGATTTACAGCTTCAGGCTTGAATACAGTAAGATTTTTACTATATTTATGGAGGCATAAGGGGCCCAGGGGGGCTAGATGGTCGTGTTATCACTATAGGGACAGGAATACATGTAGTTGCACTGGTGACTATAGTGTCCCTTTAAGAAAGTGGTGCATGTGCACAAAACCGACGCAAATGTGAAAACGTTAAAAAATGAATTGGACAATTTCATACATAACCACATTGGGTTAAACAGCACAGATAATTATTGAAGTTAACATAAATAATAGGGGTAGGGTATACATCTATACTATATGTACTACAGTTGTTGGTTATCTCATTACTTAGATCTAAGCTACTCACTGTTTTGTGAATTATCATTATCAGCATGTATTTATAGCCAAAATGTTCTGCAGTGCTTTACAATTTACAGTGGGCTATAAAGCAGAAAATACCAGACAAACATTGAATGTTCTCATGGCCATGCCCATGGCTTTATATAAAGGATTTTTCATTACACTCTAAGTGACAAATTGAACATTAATTAACATAATTAATACTTAAAAGTGCAAAATTAATGAATTCATCCATTTTAGTGTTAAACCATGGCCCGACATTATGTGTACAACCATATGACTGGCACATCTCACTTTCACACTCATTTATCTTTTCTTTGTAAACAACCCCCCCCCCACACACACACACACATAGTGGCCACAAATATCCAAAAGCCAAACATTTTA